CTTATTTATCTCATCTGCCTTACATGTTTCGGTTCCAAGGAACCATCTTCAGAGGCACTTACAACAAATCATGAAAACACTGGCACAGCTCCACATCCACAGTATGTAGTTATTTGTGGAAACTATTACATATATCGGAGTGTAAAGCACAACACTTCCCAGTATCTTGAATGCAGGTATAGCACTTGCATCTAAAAAACCACCCTCAACCGAATCGTCAACGTTAAAATTATAAAGTTAAAAATTAAAAAAACGTTCAAGTAAAATATTCAGGCTCCTTCTTGGTGAATCGTCCCAATGGGGGGAGGCGTCAGCACGGGGTTGTGTGGGCTTGTGGTCGGGTGTATCTTACGCGATGTGTATTGTGTACTATATATATTGTTGCACTTGACGGAAAATCTATTGACAATTGGTGATTGATAGTGTAACGGACCAAAATGAAACAATTCAAAATATAATAACAAAATTTACCTTTTGTCGCCGGAATGTAGAGTTGCCGTTGTATGTATACAGTGGCCGTCTTGTAGTGCACTCAATTTCACCCGTTACTTCACAACATGTTTCGACAACATAGTGCCATCATCAGGTGCCCTAATTACGCTAATCTGTTTCATTGCTTGCCTTTATAAAATTATTTAAAAAGTATTTAAAAAGTGCGCATTTGTCAACTATAATAAATTTACACACACTAAAACTTGTTAAGATTATTCATCTTATGTGTCTTAATTAAAACTTGCGTGTGGTTCTTCCACTATGGGGGTCGTTTTTCTTATATTCTGTGTAAACCGTGTCTTGTGGTGTGTGTCCCCTTCTTGGTTGTGAGTGTTGTAATGTACTTTTTAAATACTTTTAAATAATTTTATAAAGGCAAGCAATGAAATAGATTAGCGTAATTAGGGCACCTGATGATGGCACTATGTTGCCGAAACATGTCGTGAAGTAACAGGTGAAATTGAGTGCACTACAAGACGGCCACTGTATACATATCATGGAAGAAAATCAGTGCAACAGGACGCTAAAATACAACATTGTGAATAGTTGCCGTTGTGGTTAATTTTTTCTTATTTCTTAAACGAAACCCTTCTCTTGTTGATAACGTTTGTGTGTCTTATATAATTACGTTCTGAGTAAATCAGACTATATAAGCGCCGAATGGCACGGGGATACGTGAATAATAAATTGGAATGAATGCGGAAGGAATCCATCATTCACTAATCGAATTTACTAACATGACAATTGCATGGAGGGGCTGAAGAGAACCACAAGAAATCTCAGTACAGCCCATTTGAACATTGGGCCCATTTCCAATACGGAGAAGGAGTCCTTTCCCCTCGACCGCGACGACGTATGGTTCAAACATCTTTCAGTATGACCATTGTTGTCCCATATTGTGTATGTAGACAGTTGAACTAACGGGAGATGTAACCACTTTGATTTGCTAATGCACCTTTAATTTTCTTAAATGCAGTTATCTCAGTACGTAATAACTACAAAGCATACTGCTGCAACCGCTGTTACCACCACCCCCGCCGCCTGAAATGTGAGGTTGAATGTGTCGATGAATATGTTGTCCCTACTGATTTTATACCTATAAGTCAAGTCTGGTTCCGGCGTGGTGTTCATAACTCAGTATTTAAAAACTGTAGTTAACACATGTTTGTACGGATGTTTATATTGTAACGGAATTGACCAACGCATTGCCAGACAACGGCTCCGTAAACACGGTCCAACACGCAACAATAGATGAGGCTGTGCTTTGTATTTCGTCCGCGCCACGCCCAGTGTTAATAACGGACCAACGAACTAGCAGTCTGACACGTAACAGGTGTTTTATGTGGAGTCCGTGCCGAAGAATTATAAGAGGTTCCAGAATGACCGAGAAAGCAGGAGTTGAGTCATCTCGTGTGGAGGCGGGGTCGAATAGCTCCCTGCGAGTTGTAGGAGGTGCCGAAAAGGGAACCTTGTGCCTGGGGGTATAACCAGGCCATTCTGTTCCTGGGGGATATAAATACCCCTTCTTGTTGGGAGAGTCTCGAATCTGAGACAGTAAAATGTGGTTATGAGCCCAGCAGGATTCGGACCTGAGGACGACTGCGCTGGCGAGGCCCAGCAGCAATTGTAAACGACAGACCCATTCTCTCGTCAGAGATGATGTTGCATAAGGACTATAACAGCAAATGTTCAGTTGGAAAATAAAATTACTGGTCGTGAGTCTCAAGGGTCTTTTCACCAAGACGAACTGATTGGCATTCAACCGCCAGTCGTGAACTAACCCTGACTCTGACTCTGACTCTGACTCTGACTCTGACTGCGGCCACTTCCAGGAGAGTTGAGTATAGATTGGGACAGAGGCGGACAGAGTGGTTGAAGACGAAACGACAAGAAGACTTCATAGTGATTTGAAGTGTTAGTTTCTGTGTTGAGATCAGTTGCTAGGAGACGACTACTGAAGACGGAGAATCCTTGTGCGTGTGCAACGGTGAACTGAAAGTGTGTAGAATACAGTGGCAACTTTTACAGAAGCAAAATTATTCTAAAAAGTTCTACCAACTTGGATATAACGCCATGTAGCCCTTTGAGAGTCACCGGAAGTCTCGGCTGACTTTCAACAGGTTACATGGCGCTGTATCCCAGAAGGCAGAACTCTTCATAACCGCCGCTGTGAGAAGCTCGAATCCTACGATATTCTTTTAGGTAGTAACACTGCTTAATGCACACTGTTGTTCTCTCAAGTTCAGGTGACTCAGTACACCTAAGTTACATGCAGTTGTATTTTCAGAACTTCTCAAGTTAGTGAGACTAGGTATGAGATCTACTGTCTTCTGGGATGCAGAGATACTTGATGACGGAGGCTGCAGGTCAGCTCGAAACTTGATACCTGTCTACCAAATTACACAGTGCCACGTCCCACAAGACACTTGAGAATTTCAAATCCAGCGAAGTCAGTTTTGTGTGTAGAAGTTTCATGTCAGCATTCTCCTGTCGAAATCACGTGTTTCATGTCAGAGTTCTACGTAACATGTCACGTGACTCGGTGCGATCAGGTCTACGCGATTTGACATAATTATTATGATTCACAAAGAGGGAGGCCCACGTTGCCTCTTTTGTGGGCTTATTTATCCCCTCCTGCCTTCTCCGGCCCGCCCATGTACGGCCCACTGCAACAACAGTCTGAAGTCACCACCGCGAGAAACAGCATGAGAATCCAGGATCATGAACAAACAACATCACATCGCATTCCTCTTCTTCGTTGTTTGTTTGTTTCAGTTGCCTATCACCAGATCACGTAAGTTGCAATTCTTTTTTTCCTTGTTTCACTTTACGTAGATCAATGGATAAAAATTCTCCATTTTCTGTTACATCCAAGAATGTTTCCTTTACTATTTCTTGTTTTCCTCTCTCCTTGATGTCATCCATTACCCGGCTGAACCATCTTGTTCATGGTCGTCTTTTAGTCTCTTTTCTTTAAATTTCAGTTCTGCAACCCCACTTAGGCAACCTTTTTTCTATCCATTATCTCTGCATGATCAAAAATTTGTTATCGTTTTCCTTCTAATTCTACTAACAAATTCGGAATTAGAAACTCGTCTTTAAAATGTCATTACTAATTCTACTCTTCCCTTACGTTTTGTTTAGTGTTTCTGTAAAAGAGAGAGAAAGTCATGTCCATTTCTTAGATTCTTCTTCCGTTTCTCCTTTCAAAAGGAAGGCCGCGTGTTCGATTCCCGATGAGGTCATTGGATATTGCAATTGACCTAATCCTTCCAGCCGCGCTATGGCCCGGGGTTTGACTCAGCCTCCAACAGATATGAGTATCAGGAATCTTCTTTGGGGTAAAGGGCGGCCGGCGTGTAAGGCTGACAACCTCACCGTCATCTCTGAGTCGATTTACTAGAAAATGTGAAGGCTTCGACACCTCATAACCCTATGGGCCTCAACTGCCTGTTACGGGGATAGCTTTACTTTCTACCTTTATAACGTCGTTTCAGTGTTATGTTGATTTATGTTTAAAATATAATTTATAGGTAGTTGTTTTGCGCTGTTTTGGGATCACTCTGTTTCATAATATTAGTTTTATAACTTGATAAAATTCAAAACTCTTTTATATGCTTCCGTCTTTCTCTCTGTCGGTTCCTGCTGGACTTCTGGCATCTCGGCACATCTGTGTGCAATAGTGAAGCGCGAAATCTGTTTCAAAGACCAGTGTATAATTTCGTCTTATACTGAGTAATGAACGCCCAATGTTAGTCGCAATGATGTACTTTATACAGTGAACCTTATGGAATTTAGTGTTGGGATAATTAAAATCCGAGCTGAGAAATGAAAATGGTAGAAATTCTGCACGTTTCTAGCCAGTAACGGACCTAGCTGAGTACGAGGCCAGGGATGATGGATGTTTCCATAGCCTCCTAACAGTGTGAAATAATTAAGAGAAAAGACGAAAGTCACTCACCACAGAAAGTTTTATACAAATACAACACATCACAGAGAGAATGCATCCAGAAGCTATCACTCACTCAACTGCTCAATCCCCCCCCCTCAAGTCTTTTTTTGTTGTGCCCGGAGGTGTTTCATCATAGATACTAGCGTCTTCTGACGATGGTGTAGGCCTATCGGAAATACTGGTTTTTGGACTTTGTCCATCGTCCGGTATTCGAAAGAACACACCGGATATATTTCCGTCCACCACTCGCCCCCTTCACCTGAAGACAGAAATAGATCCAGTTTCCGAAACGTTGTGTTCTCTAGTGTCCGGTCCAACTTCCATCTTAGACGACTAGGCCTTGTCGGCCGTCCGCGACTGTTTTTTTAAATATTGGAATCTATGTTCCGTTTCTAGAGGTCATCTCCTCTTTCTGTAAAGTCAGAATGCACCATACCTTGGCGCAGAGAGATCCATAAACAATAACATGGTAACAGTACATGAACATAGCAGTAAGCTTGTATTCACTTTTGTGTTCTTGAAGGAACTTCAAGGATACGTACATAGATTACATATTGTCACGTGTCAGAGATGAATTGTGAAAAATGTTTGTATGTCTATGAAGACGGACCTATAGAAAACTGCCGTGGAATGACACAAATTACATGGAGCCAGTTTAATATAAAAATATTATAAAGATGCGTCATTTGGCACCGTTCAGACAATTTTCTGAACTTCAACTTTCTTGCAACGTTCGCTACAAACTACCACGAGATCTTTTAAATCTACATTGTGATTATTTCATTCTGGAAAGACACTTAGCAGAACACAACGCCCATTGTGACGTGTTCTGCGTTAGTTTTATGTTACATTGAAGTTCCATAAAACTTCGAGCTGCTGGTGCCTCTCTAAGCGGAATTGTTAACAAGCTCCTGCATGCTATGTTAGTCTAAAGACTGGAATTCTTCAACATGATTACTTAGCAACGTGTCAACAGGAGTCACAACGGAATCCGAGGCCTCTACAACTTCACTCTCTTTCAGAGCTCCTATGTCAGACCAGCGACAGGCCACAAGTCGTGGAGTTTTTGCCAGACGACGGGGCTCCACTGGTTGCGCCGCTCAGGAGTGGACTGCCCGTCGGCTCCGTACTCTCTTTGGAGGGCTCAGCTCCACTCGATGCACAGGAGTGAGTATTGACAGCCAACAGTAGCACATCCGGCGGGCCAAGGCGTAATTTATGTCGGTTCGAAAATTCCAGTCGGCTTTATACTGTATAATATTGTATTTCGTCACAACTGGAACAATTATTGTTTTACAGTTATCACCAATTGTTAATGCCTTTAAACGAGTAAATTTTCTTAGCATCTCCTCCTTTGTTGAATTAATTCAATTCAATTCTCGTTTATTTACATGAAAACATAATATCCGAGAAGCAAATTACAAAGTTAGCATGAGCAAGAGAAAGTAGCAACAACAAAACGAGGCAGTTTATACAGCAATACGAGTAGTAATAATTATTCATTCCCTTCATTTAAACAATTGCCAACAGCAAGTGGCCCATAACAGGCGAATAATGACAGCACACCTATCTAAAGCTACACTAAGAGTATACCCAGGGCGGTTAGTCGCTGGCTTCCCACCGCGGCGCCCCGGGTTCGATCCTGGGTGTGGTCAAGTGGGATTTGTGGTGGACAAAGTGGCGCTGGGGCGGGTTTTCTCCGAGTACTTCGGTTTCCCCTGCCAATCTTCATTCCACCAATTGCTCCACAATCACCCTCACCTGTCATCTGGGGCTGGTACGATAGGCCAGAAGTGGCCACAGTACAAGGGACTTAGTCCCACCCCACTAGCAATAAAATAACCAGAACCGAGCTAAAATGAATGCTGGGCAATAAAACAATACAGGTAACGCGCTGACGACGTAATTAAACGGGATTAAGTAAAGGAAAGTGTATCCTCAAGGGAGATGTTATGTTCATTGGAAACGTCTAGAGATCTGCTGATGCTGTCTGCAACTCTAAGGCACCTTGTTGAAGGGCTAAGTCTTAAAACGTTACTGGAGTTAGAGGTGGAAAAGCACCTAACTTGCTTAACGGGTACGCCGAGACCAACAGCATCCGTAACAGAATAACCGTCAGTTTTGTTCTTAAAAACATTAATACGAAATAAAGTGTCAAGATTTTGTCGCCTGGAATAAAGTGTTTTAAAATGTAAATAACTCAACATGGATTCACAATTGCAAAACGAGTTGGGATGAACAGATCGATTACAGCATAAATTTTCAAACTGTCTTTGTATGTTTTCCAGCTTATTAGAATCTGCTAAAGTAAAGTTATTCAGACGACAGGCGCGTGCTCAAGATTTGAAACAATTAAGGTAAAATATAAAAGTTTAGATTATCCAAAGAAGAAAATTTGTATGCGACGAAATGAATTAATCCTAGGAGCTTCAGTGTCTGAGAACGTAAGTAATCAGTATGACTGTCTGACAATAATAATTCAATTCAATTCGTGTTTATTTACGTGCAAACTTAACAGCACAGAGGCCAATTACAAAGCTAGCATGAATAAAGATACAGAAGCAAACACACACAGACAAAGCCACAAAGTGAGAATTTGAGTTTCAAATAGAGCNAAGTTCAGGTCATGTGGAATTTGTGATGAACAAAGTTGCAGTGGGGCAGATTTTCTCTGAGTACTTCGGTGTCCCCTACCAACTCTCATTCTACCGACTGCTCCATATTCATCATCATCTATCATCCGGGTCTGGTACAAGAGGCCAATAGTGGCCCACGTACCAAGTGGACTCAGTCTTACCACACCCCAGGAACTAAATGACAAATAAAACAAACACGTACACACAAAGACAAAAGCTTGTCGACATATACCATTTAGACAATAACGATCTAATTGTTACCATCTTGACAGCTATGACGCAATAAAAGTAGAAAACTATGCATAACATATGCTAATACAAGGCAAAGAAATTATTTAATAATTAATAATTAAAAATACAAATTACGACATCTATTTAAGAGAGAGTTTTTGTTCCTCATAAGAAACCTCAACAGCTGAAGCGCATCTAGCAGAAGGTTGATTTCTATTGGAAGAGCAGACCTTGAACATAGAATGAACCGACTAGAAACTCGAAGATCAAAAAATACTCCCAGACTCAGTATAGGTTATAGTGGATTGAAATGTAATACTCGTAGATCAAAATGTCTGTTTTCCTATAGAAGACTATAAACTCAGTTTTATCAATAATAAATTTAATAAAGTTTCCGAAATAGAAAGGCAGAATTTACGTAAAGTATGATATGAACATAAATTCAAGGGATGAGAAGTTGAATTTTATGCTACAAACTAAACATTGCAATTTAATATAATGAAAAAATATAAAATTGACATGATTAAGAAAATAAAGCTTAGAATCAAAAAATACTCCGTGACTCAGTATGGGTTATAGTGGATTGAAATTTTATACTCGTAGATCAAAATCTCTGTTTTCCTATAGAAGCTTATAAACTCAATTTTATCAATAACAAATTTAATAAAGTTCACAGCGCGCCAGATTCATATCGAATCTATACAGATGGCAGAAGAATACAACATTCAGGAGAGTTACTGGTTTGTTATATTTTTATGTTATCTGCAAAAGAGTATATACCTGCAGTGCTTAACTATATCACATATATCATTTACAAACATGTTGAAAAGCTGAGGACCCAGAATAGATCCTTGTGGAACACCAGAGATTACTTCGAAAGGCGATGAATTAATTCAAGAAATGCGAACCTGAGATGGCCTGTTAATTAGTTAATTGCGAAAACAGATTACATAACCACCATAAAATCGAAGAACACTAGGCTCACGGAGAAGCAGTGAGTGGGGAAAGGGGTCAAAACAGAGGTTAGATAAAAATAAATGACATCAGCTTGACGTTGACTTCTGACTAGGGGGGTAATAAAATCAAGATGTTTGAAAATGGATTTGTACTTTGTGAAACCTTTCTGAGAGGGATTTCATTTGAAATTAAGGTAATGAGATACACGGTCATGTATAACAAATTCAAGTAATTTGGAAAAATTATTAAGAGTCGAAATGTGTCTATAATAATAATAATAATAATAATAATAATAATAATAATACAAGAACAATACCATTGTCAACAACGAAGACAACCTAAAGGAAAAGTTCCAAGCAAAAATAAAAAAAGTTACGTAAGCCCTTAATAGACGAGATGAAGGGAATACGATATAAAAACAATTATACTCCTACACATATCCAGTACATACTGGTCTTCCTGTAAAACCACTCTAAGGAATCTCCATAGCAAATCAGATATCTAAGATACCAACAATAACTTCATACAGCTTCAAATTTTTTAACTGACCATATCTCGTTACAGCGAATATATCAGAATCTAACAAGAACTAATTAGACCTGTCATTTACAATTGTTGCACATACATATATACATACATGTGTAAGTATTTACTTTAAGACACTAGATGCATTCTATGCCCATTAATCCAACCTACTTGTATGGCCTAATGAACAGCAACAACAACAATGGTAATTGCCGGCGTGTTCAGATCCTCTCGTTTCTACATGCAGCCAGTGCCGTGGGCTAGGCAGATGTTTCCTGGCAGCTGTTCGCCTCCACTTCCTGTTCTATTAACCCACCTTGTCCACCTCCAGACATTCGCCTTAATGTGCATGATCTGTGGTCTTAATCAACATAATTGACAGCCACGCGACGCATCGCGCAGGACGTAATCTGGTGACATCGTGTGGAGTTAGGATGGCAAGCCACTGCTCACGGTACAGTGGGCTCTGACGTTGTAAATTAAAATGGTTTTCTGTGTATATATGTTATAGTTGCATAGACGAATCTAGCCTCAGCAATTCAAATATTAGAGATGTGATGTCATTCTTAAACGTCTTTCAAAGCCTTAGAAATTAAACTTGGTTGTTCTTGAACATACAAACTTGCTCTAAGGTATTAACAATTTTCTCGAGGAGAAAACACTTCGAACTGAAATACGTGCATTTCGTCCACCGACTCTCATGCATAGGTGCGGCACGAAATTGTATCCATATCGATATATGGGGTCGAAAAAAGGCCGGGTGAATATGTTCTCACACGGAGTCACAGTCACCTGTTCCCAGGGCTGTGTGCGAGACAGGTCCGTGCCACTCTCCTGGCACCTCTTTCTCATACATTTAGAAGTAGCCTAGGGCAAGGGGCACGAGCCGCCCCTGAATTATAAGATATGGACCAAGCCCTTGAATATAAAAAAAAATGAGGTAAAATTTTCCCTCTATTTAATTAACCAATTAAGCGCTATGCCATGAAAACATATGGGGCAGGGGAGGTATAGCTCCATCATTCTTGACCTTGGCACTAGATGGAGGTAAATGGTCCGTTTTACGTTACGTCCGTTTTACCGCCAGTGAAGGAGCCCCAGTACGTATTGGATAGGAGGCTGGGTGACCTCTGCGACCGGTTTGGAGACTATGGTGAAGTGAAAATCTTGCCCCTGCCGGAAATCGAACCCCGGCAGTTCAACCCGTAGGCCGCCACTATACTGACTAAGCTATCGCGAAGGAAAGAAATTTTATAAATGTCTGCCACAATACGGAAGTGCTTGATCTAGTGATAAAATTCGCTGACTTCTGTTTATTACTTTATTTGACGACTCTGTCGGTATCTAGGACATGCAGCCTGGCTTCATGTCATTTGTTGGGATTTGCAGTGAGATGTGTGCGAGTACAGGCCAAACGAGCATAAGCACGCTTTCCATACGATAGCAGTTGACGAGCTCCACGGAAAACCTCATCTTATTTTCTGCAGTTATAATAAGCGGTCCTTTTTCTTTATTGCTAGTGGGGTGGGACTAAGTCCCTTGTACTGCGGCCACTTCTGGCCTATTGTACCAGCCCCAGATGACAGGTGAGGGTGATTGTGGAGCAATTGGCAGCATAAAGAGTGACAGGGGAAACCGAAGTACTCAGAGGAAGCCCGCCCTAGCGCCACTTTGTCCACCACAAATCCCACGTGACCAGACCCTGGATCGAACCCCGGCCGCGACGACGGGAAGCCAGCGACTAACCGCTTGAGCTATGGCGCGGCCTCATAATCGACCCTTAATAACTATATTACATCGTTAAAATGTCCAGTAGTTGCTTTTGAGCGTACGTACCATGGTTTTAGAAATTCTTCAGCAATTCAAGAAATACATTTCTTGCAGAAGACTCTCAAGAGGAGTGATGTATTTTGAAGAAATCCAACAAGCTCATTTACCACAAAGTAATAAGAATTACTTAATAAATTCAATCCAAAACAGAGAAACGTATAAAAAATCGTGATGTCTGCTTTTCAGCTAATTTGTATTTAAGATAATCTCAGACCTTCGTCATACTTTGGGTGGCCACCAAATTCTGCTGGCGGCGTTCTTCTCAGAAAGCCATTAGCAAATTATTTTACAGCTGTATGGCAGTGTGTTCCAGACTGCACTAAAACAATCAGTAGGGTGCTGAATGTAATATACACATTACGAGGGTGTCAGGAGACAGAATGGAGACGTGTGTTATCGGTAACCTGCGGTATTTCGAGAAATTTCGCTAGAAATAATTTGGGTTTATATTGTATTTAATGTTAAATTGGAATAAAAATTATATCGTATTTAAGTATAAACGTATGCTTTATTTAATCGGTATTTTTATAATAATCTGGTAACTTTTTGGTGCGACAGCTTATGGCGTTTTTTCGTCACATACGCCTTAAAGTTCTTTTTGTAAATGCGAAGATGGAGATGACCAAAATCACTTTCTCTTTCCATCTGATTCATCACATCTCTGATATTATTCAATGCTTTGCTAATTGTGGGGGTCTTAAGTTTACACACTTCTTCCTTCCCGCTCTCATCTTCCGGTAAAAGAAATCTGCTCTTCCGCGATTCAGGTCTTCAGCTACAATTTCTTCAACGAGAGTTTCATCATTTTCACGAACCCAGGCTCCCAAGTCACTTGTCTGCAGCCTGTCATGAAGAGTATTGAGAACTCCATGGACATCTTCTTCCGTAAAGCCTAAATATTCTTCTTCGTGTTCGATATCATCGCCTGTTTTAGCAATATATTTCGACCAGCAATTTTTAATTGTCATAGAACTAGTCTGACACTTGCAGCTATGAGTTAATGACAGGCTTGAGCAATGCTCGCCGACAATAGGCTTTAAAAGCTCGGATAATGCCTTGGTCCAAGGGTTGGATAAGTCCAGTAGCATTTTTTACATCATTACTGTTCTTCCATCTTTCAGTTCCAGAGACTGAGACGGTGAATGTGCAGAACAGTTATCTAGCAAAAGGAGAGTTTTTTTTTTTCATCCAGTTTTCAAGAACGTCGGCAATTCATCACTACCGGCACAAAACCTTCATTGGACCACGATCAGAAAATATCGCGAGTCGTCCAGGCGTTCTGGCTGCTTCTACAAACGACAGGCGAAGACGTCCTGTTAATGTGCCTGGAAGATTGAGGACTTCCGTTTCCTCCAGCACTTAAAGACTTCCAATTGTGGCTTCCCGTTTCTTCTTTTTTGTGTAGACTATTAAGGCCGCTCTATTCATACCGTATTTATGTGCTGATTTATTAATGTCTGACCGATTCTGTGGTCTAGTGGTCAGAGTTCCTGCTTCCAGATCCAGAGGTTCCGGGTTCGATTCTCGGGGATACCAGATTTTCTCAGAAGTAGTGGTTCTGGAACGGTGTCCACTCAGCCTCGTGAGGGTAATTGAGGAGCTATTTCAAGGAAATGGCGGCTCCGGTCTAGAAAATAAAAGGGGGAACCGTTGCGCTGACCACGTGACACCCTCTATCCTCTAAAGTTGGTACTAACTTCGCCAACAAGCGGCGGTCGCTCGGTCGGTATAGTTCGCTTGCGGACTACAGGCCACGGAGTTATTTGTTTTGTTTATTTCTTATTAATATCCAGCGACTAGGTTGGAAGCATTCTATTGTAAAGTGCAGTTTCGTCATGACTGTAAAACTTCTCGTCATTGTCTTCATGCTCGTTGCTCAACTCCCATAAAGCCTCATAGAACGCTTTGTCCACTGCACTGTCGTTGGAACGAATCTCATTCTACGTTAAGTGGCATTACCATGTGACGAATTATGCATCTCCATAACCAAACATTGGAAGCACGGATGCCATGAGCTTTGCAGATTTTGCTTACAAAATTTAATGGCATGTGCTTCCAGAAGTGGGCTCAATATCGGCACAACTTCACTACGTTTCTGCAAAAATCGTGTATCAGGGAACAAAACGCAACGCTAGATACACACAATTAACAGAGCGACGCACCCAGTGGCATACGAAAACAGCCGCAGAAAATCGTCCTATAAAATCATCATACATCATAATTAAAAAAATAACAATAACAACAACGACGTGCCTTGATGAAAAATACTTGCAATGTGTACAGTGCAGTAGACTCCTTTAAGGAACGTGTTGGCCGAAGATGGCCCCATGTGGCTGAAACATGTAGCACGAACACTGAATGTACATATTATTTTAATAATTTTAATGGCATTTTAAACATTTAACGAACATTTAGTGAATTAAGTGTGAATTATTGTCATTAAATTAATATTGTTCCGTTACAGATGCAAAACAAGACTGTAAGTTATACCTCACTGCAACAGGAAGCTGAAATGTAATATTAGAAATCATGCATACAAATATTCGTCAGCGCCACTTAGAACACTGCAGTAGGCTCTTTTTTCTATCAAGGCCGAATTTGTCATCTACTCGATCAACAAATAATCGTAGTTGGTTTTATTTTTCATCCAACGAACTGTTCCTTCAGAAGCATCGAACTCCCAGAATAAATTAATTCTCAAACCACCGAATTGCACTTTGTCGAGTATGCCCAATTTTTTCTTTGTCTTATATGTTTTAATTTTGTGGACATAGACGTAACCTTAAATTCTAAAATATACATGCATATATATGAACGAAGCACGAGAAAGATTTGCAGTAACAGATTTCTCAAGACGACTTTAGAAACGCGTATATTTCAATACTTCATTCTGGACGCGGTATTTCAAGCGTGCCACACAAATTCCAACAGTAGAAGTGCTTCTCCGTAGCTGATGTAGAGAAGCATCGGTGTCTCCTTAGTAAATCACCGATCGTGTTCAAGGTTATATAAAACACTCAGAGCGACGGACTAGACGCAGTCGTTTGAACGAAGTTGTTTACGAAGAAAAAAATTGCAGTAAAATTTGAAAGAAAATTGTTTGCAAAAATAATAAATGAAGCCATTTTGGGAGGCATGATTAGGCCTGCGGTATAGCGAGGAGCTTCATAACCGAGTTTTACTGTATTTCCTCCACATCATATTTGACTCAAAACTGATGGTGACAAAGAATATCACATATCTCCTTTTGTGATCAGTTAACTAAATATGTAACAATCCCTTACCAGAATATAGAGGTTTAATGTACAGTATTTAAATTTATTGGAGATACACACATTAAAGGTGCTAAATCCCTGCAACATCACGTGATTGACCATTACTGTTAGATTTGTAGCTGAGCTGTTAATCCCAGACAACGTGAGATTCTTGGAGCAATCGCCGATGGCATTGAGTTTCCGTGCACAATTTGACATAGAGCAGATATACCACAACTCATTCCTGGAACATGCCTGGGGGAAACAAGAGATCCCAAACTGGTTCCCACTACAGCCAGGTGCTGATTTCAACATCACTTTTGAGTCGGAAGACCAGGGCTTCAAGGTACAGTGTTGTCTGTGTGTTAAGGTGCATGCAGAAAACATCTTACTGAGAGCACCAAAACTTTCCAATACAAATATGGTATGCTCCTGTTTTCTCTCTTTTATTGTATTAAACAGCTTTTCATGTCTGGAAGGACATTTCATTACTTGAAACAAAATAAAACTACTAATGAACATTCCAGTTCAATACAATTAAAATATGTAATCATGTTAATATTTCTGTGTGTAACTTAAAATTTAGCACAACACACACTTTATTGAGAGAATATGTTTTTGAAAATGCCTCATTATTGCGAAATTGTAAAATGCAAACCCTATTTTTCCATTCGTTCCTTGCTGTAAGTGGATAAGCATTTCTACAGAATTACTCCTGGTCAGGTGTTGGAATAGAAACACACTTCAAGTTCTACATAAATTTTAATTCCTCTCCATGTTCCTTTAGGCACAGTACTTGCACTTGCACTTGGCTTATTTCCAGATATCTCACATAAGGATAATACACTGCACAATCTAGAATAAAATGGGGAAAGCAACCACACTATCAGACATCCCCTTGCATCACCTACACATGTAAATATTCAATCTAAATCTCCTAAGTAATCATTCCTTTAGAAAAAGAATCTGGGCCTGAATTTGTTATTGTTCTGCATTTTATGCTTAAAAGAATGCAACCTTTTCCCCATATTTCTGTAAGAGAAAGTTTAAGGTCATGTAGTATAATTTCTGTGAGGATGGAATTCCATAACCAAAATGTTTGCAATGTGAGGGTTCATTATAATTTCCACAATTTTGCAGATTTATGTGAATCAGGAATTTTTCTGGATGTTTTTCCACCGGGTGGATCCTTCCCAGGTGTCACACGTGCGTGTTGCTGGTGACATCACTCTTTACAAGCTTACTTACCATGTGGGAATGCAGGTGAGTGGTCTCTTATCAGCACAGTGACCATGCAGTCTGTAAGTAGAATAACATCTGGGGTAGTGTGATGAGATATAATGAGACAAGGAAGGAAAGCTGATAGTATACACAAGTGTTACAGTGTTGCTCAGTGAGAAATTACTTAGGGTTTTGGTGTTGCAGCATGTGAGACTCTGTAGGTTGGGAGACAGGTACCAGTGTTTTGGTGAGGCCTGCTTCCATAACTTTTAGGGTAAAAGACCATCTTATTTTGAAGACAGTCTGGTAAATGTACTAAGTTATGGCCTTAAACCAGCTATATACGGAAGCTTCATGTCTGGCCTTCATTTTTCTCAGTCACAATATGAGAACATTGTGACATTTCTTCATGTGTCTTATATGAATGGAAAAGTTTTAAATGTCTGTGAGTGCATATGTGTGTTTGTGTGTGTGCGTGCGTGAGTGTATTGTACTGCCTTCTGAGTCCTGAAAGTTGATGGTTGTAATGAGTGAAATAATTGAACTTTGTCATAGTTTGAACACAGCCCGTACCACTGGTAGGTAATGTGATAGTGTTCATGATTCACCTTCAGTACTCAGTCAGACAGTCCCAGTACCATGTTGAAAATTACTATCTTCTGGGATGTGACACCATAAGATCTGGAAGAAATGTACAAATGTTCCCGAATAATCTGCTACTCTGAGGTAAATTCCAGAGATAAGACTGAATCTACTATATGGAACTTCTGTGTTGTTTGTTTACAGACAATCTCTGCAACTGGGTACTTGATTTGCATGAAACAGGAGTGATATTTGGTATATGCCCTGACTTAGAGGTTAAGTTATGCTCTAGACATCTCATGTGTGTTGCAGCAAAAATGCCGGCCACGTGGAGACCTTCACGCACAACAACTGCCAGTCTCAGGAGCTGTTCCTCACATGGCACATTTGCAGCATCCATTTTCAACAGGCTCTGTCATCTCAGTAACTGGCACCCTGAACAACAATGCTGAGTGGTGAGTGAAAATTACACAAGTTTGTGTGACAAAGTAACTGCAAGATATGCAGGCAAGTAACATCTCTCACTTACTAACGCCTTGGCTCCACAGTCCTCCAAGAACTTCGGCCTCCTTCATAACAAATTCTCATTATCCTTTATTATTTGCCTTCTGCCTCCATTTCTTCTTTTTCAGCTTACACAAATCATTCTTTAAATTTTATTTATATTGTCATGAATTAGACTGAGCACATTTCAACTCGTTTCATTGTCCTTTTAACATTTCCTTCCTCGTTTCCCTAAGTTATCCATCTGACATGCACTATTGGATTTCTTAACATACTGTTTTCTGAAGTGAGATTGCCAGCCTCATGCCCAGCCCCCATGCTGAAGGACAAGAGGATATCTCTTGCTCCTACTCTTTGGCCTGTTTAGCTTCAGCGACAGTAGCTCTCCAATTAATAATGGCATGCAGACCCTATCATCACCATGCTAAAGTAGTAGCCAAGGGGGTGGAAATATAAACCTCCTCTTCATTAATAGACTACAGAGCAGGGTACACAAAGAATTTCAGGATTTCACTGTGGAGTAATATTCATCAGGGAAAAATCAGAATTGTTGTCTTCTGGGTTATGACACATGTTGAGCTGGATATCAGTGTCACAGAGGAACGTGCTGCTTCCAACATCAGCATCAAACTGACTTCAGGGTATACTGAAAATGGAGGCTGTCAGTTCTTCTGAAACATTTGTAATTACCTACTAACAACAGAGTGTGATATCCCAAAGGCAGTAATCTTCTAATTCAATTAGCATATTGTAAAGTCTGATTATGCTTTAAATATCACATTTCTTTATCATGTTTCTACTACTTTTCATTGTCTTCTGTGTCCGCTGCATCATGCTGACACATTTCAGGATGATCATCAACCTGCAGTCTGATGGAGACTTTGAGGATGTGATAGTTCTTCAGTTCAATGCACAACTCAAAGATGGCACAGTTATACACAACACATACTTCAATGGTGTGTGGGGCTGGGATTTCAGCAATGACACAGTACCACTGCAGAGAGGGGCTGAATTCAGCATTGACTTCCATTCTGATAAGAGACATATCAAGGTAAAATTCCCAAAACTGGATTGTGTGGAAGATGACATATTCCTGAAATTAGTTATGAAATATCATTCAGTAGAACAAGATACCTATATGTCCACTTAACTCTGTAACAGCTGGTCATTGATTTCTTATCCACAGGTGCATGGCATGATTGATACTCATGGTCATCATATGAAGTGTGGTGATCTGTGATTAATGTGTGACAGCAGTTAGAACTGATAAAAATTAATATTACTCTGAAAGTACTTCGTTCTTAGCACACACACTTTTGATCCAAGTTTGTTTAAGGTACTGTGTTACTTACAGATGCGGATTGATATTATTGACATTTAAGAGCTTAAGGTCTTCAATTTCATACATCTCAAGAGAGCAAGGAAAGAAGAAAGAGCTGATAAGAAACTGAAAGGAAAGATTGTGGGAAGAAAGAAGATATTGGTCACTTTTCAAATATCAACCACTATGTAAAATAGAAAATGATGCAAGAAAACTGGAGAAACCTTTAATAATTCTGACGGAACACCATGAAATGTTTACTTGTCAGAATAATATTCCATTCTAGTAGACAGAATAATCCTCTCCAAACTCTGACGTATATTAAATGATGATACAAATAGTGTAATACTTCAGAGAACTCTCAAAATGCAGATAAGTGTCAAGTCAGGTATGATGCCTGTAATAAACATATAGGTTGTGATAACCTGCTGGTTGGTAAGTCTGTTGCAGACCTCAGAAATGGTAAATGATGAATATGGAGCTTTGATAGAATGGTGGACATGACAAAACCAAAGTACTCAAAGGAAAACTGTCTCAGTGTCTTTCTGTCCAAAACAGATTCCTCATGAATTGTCCTGGGATTAAACCCAGGAGTCTGCAGAGGGACAATGACACAGTAAACCCTTACTAAGTATTTCAAGTTAGTTTTTCTGTTTCTCTATTGCAGGTGTGCATCAATGGTGCATTGTTCTCACGCTATGAACACCGCTTGAACCCTGAGCGTGTCACTATGGTTCTGGTGAATGGTGCTCTCACATTGAAGAGTGTGCTCCACTACACTAACGGGACATGGAGTGGCATCCCACAAAGTTCTTTCAAGACATGCTCCCCCCTAGGAGTGTCTCCCAGTTTTAAAAATGTGAGAGAATAAAATACTGGAAAATTTGGATAGATTATGAATGAATTTCTACCAATATCTCACATTCTCTTCATTCATGTCTCCGTGCAAGTTTCAGATATTTTCATTTTTACCTTTATTACACTCATTAATTTTGTCTTCTAGATATCAAAGTTCTACAAGTTTCCTACTTTACATTGTTCAGGTTATCCTTATTTGCCTCATCTGAATTTTGCAACCACTGCAATTTAGTCAGCTTTCTTTTATTTGATCCTTCTTTAATACCTTACCATATAAAATTTCAAGATTTTACACTCTTCCTCTCGGATCCAAATCAGCAGGAAGAAGTCAGTTTTTATACACTAATGACTTCATCATCAACATCATCTCTTTCTTGCACTTAGTCCTTCTTCTAACTTCTTTTTCTTCTTCTCTTCTTCCACTTCTTCTTTCTTACACTCTTTCTCTTGCTATTCTTGTGCATCTCCTTATTTTCTCTTCCATCATCATCCTTTTTATATTAGCCACACTTTTGTCTTCTCCTGTATATTCTTCCTCTTTTATTCTCATCCTCTTTGCTTTCCTTCCCTTCCCTTCCCTTCTCTCCCTTTCCTTTACTTCTTTCTTGTTCTCTCATTTTCTTCTTGTCTTCATACACATTTTTCCCCATCTTTCTTACTTTCCTTGTCTTCATCCTTTATTTTATTCTGAAGGAACAAATTATGGTAATGTAACGTAGGTTCCACCTCAAAGCGTGAAATGATTGCTATTATTTAGAATAACATACTATAAGATACAATGTCTGATTTTCCTGAGTCCTATGAAATTTCATCAAAATTTCTCAACTTCTTAGAAATTCAGATGAGCAAACAGTTGACACACGGATATCTTAGGCCTATCCTATAAACTAGATAGGTGAAAACTGTATTACTATATAGGACTACTGCTTGAAGAATGCAATCAGAAAAACAATTTAGTATGCGACAGGAGAGCTGCATGATTTCTAACTTGAAGCGTTAGCATATGCACTGTCCATGTTTGATGTAAAATTGAGATAACAAACTGTGGGAACATCCCACATACTATCACGCTGTTTCGCCGATCAACAGACAGCACTCACTCCTAAGTCAATAGCACATTGCTGCACATTGCTGTCAGCCCTCATATTTATACAGCACTCACTGTTCAGCTCACTTTCAACATCACATGCGCTAACCAATCACATTGCTGCCACCATTCATATTTATACAGCAGTCGATGCCCAGCTCACTCGTAATCATCACATGCACTAGCTGGGGTGTTCCCACAAAACCATTTTGAACCTCCATTTCTTTAATTCAGTTCAAATTGTTCATACTCATATCCATATAAGCATTTTGTATAACATCTGAACTCCCATGATTGCTTGATTCAAATATAAATAATGCAAAGGACTGATATCAATAGCTATATGAGTGGATAATGTAAAAAAAATATTATTTCCCTATCATAAAGTATGCTGAAATTTTAACAGGCAGTTGTTAAAAACAAACTTTATCAAAAATGGCTAATCTCAGTAATTTCAAAAGTACTGTGTTGCATGTCAAACGCCCCTATAAACTGTCAAATATAACTTATTATAATCATATATATTTTTTCATATATTTAATTGCATGACATATTTCAAAATAATTTGTTCGTCAAAAGGAGGGTGTCTCATGAAGAAACTAATTACACGCAGTGTAACAATAAAACATAAATACACATTTAAATCTCTAAGAGTGAAAATCTTACTTAATATTTTAATCCTGTATCTTGTTACTATACCATGTTTCTCTAGATACAAGCAGACTATAAACTATTCAACATAGTTGATTTCTTATGTGATATAATTAAAACATTTTTAAAAAAGTTCTGTGCACACATTAGGAGCTGGGGTAGTGTAGTAGGTGGAGTGGCTCTTTCATCATAATATGTTGATATGAATGCGAAAAAGGAACAAAATTTGAAACCATGACTGGAAGAAGAATTAACAGAATTTAGGATTTTGGTAAATTTTCATTATATGAGAAGGGGTAATTGCCTGTTTTTTACTAAGGAAACATCTGAGATCAAAGTCATTGAGTTCAACCCAATCTTCCGTTCTTGATATGAGTACATATCAACTGCACCTTCCTAGAATGTGTTTCTGTGTCTGTTGTAGATCTTGTGTGAACTGTGCTCCCATCTGCCAGACCAAGACATGTCTGTCATGGCCACCCCAGTGCGGTTCAAGCAGCGGCCTTGATTGTGAAGAAAGATACATGAGATTTGAAGTTCTTAAAATAACAGTGATTTAGATCAGGTATGACAAACCAGATTTATATCAAAAGTTCCTTAATGGTAAGAAGAGGTTCTACCTGTCATCACCGCTCCATTATTGCCTAGCGGACTTAATAAGATATCCCTTTCTGGACATCTGTTACATTGGTCTCCAATTCTTGGCTTTTATATGGCTTTCAAAGTGACACATATTGCACTCTTTCATTTGTGAGAAAGCTTCTTCTAACTAATTTTATTATCTTGGTTCGAAATAATTGACAACATAACACAACATTGTATTTCCGTGCAGCTCTCTTCTTTCTACCCATGCTTCTCAGTATCTAGGATGGATACATAAAGCAACAGTAAAAATGTATCTCACAAAAAATAATGATAGCTTTGTGAACTGCTGAGTAATCAAAGGGCCCAGAGGTTAATAAAGACAAAATCTGTAATCACTGGTGCCAACAAACCTCTCATTCAGTGCAAATGGTTTGCAATCCTTGATTTAGATTGTACTTGCCTAGGAAAACTGTTCCTTTCTCCTCCCATACAGTCTAATCTTGCAGTGGAAGTAGTGATTTTTCTTTGATTAATGTTTCTGTGTTTCTGTTACCATAGTTTATTTTTACCATAATGTTGTGAAGCATGAAAGCTGTCTACAGCAGAAATTCTCCATTCTGAAAGGTTGTGAGAGTGATATGTTACACTTAGTAATATTGGATTTCTAGATGTTGTTCATCATCTAGTATTCTGAACAGAACACAGGGTTTCAGAACTGGATCTGTGTTGGGCGTAAGGTGAGATAGAGGAAAGTCAGAAGAATCAGCCCCTGTTAATGCTTTAGCATTTCCCCATTCACTATGCCCTTGAGAAATGGGCCTTTAAGGAGCCAGCGTTTCCTTATACTGTTTCTACTGACTTCCTTCTCTCTCCTCTGTTCACTTAGAACTACTATTTCTCCCAGTCATTCTGCCCTTGTAAAACGGTCCTTTAAAGGTCAGTACTATTTTCGTTGTTGTCCTTACTCCTGTTATTTTGCTCAGGGCCCCAATATTGGTATTCCCCCTCCCTGTATCTCTATCACTTATACTATACTTGGCTTACTCTTCTATTTTGAAGATGAAAGTGTCAAGTTTTCTGAAATTTTGCTGTCTACCAGACTACACAGTGATATTAGTCTTCTGATTCTAATCTAGTCTATATGCAAATCATCTGTTCTCTCGGGTCGTTATTAGCTCAAGAATATCAAAAGAATTGGGCACAGTCTGGGTCCTATATCATTTCCAGTAAACCTCCATAAATGTGATTACCAAAACAATCTAACAATTGGTTTCTTGTTCACAGGATGCCCTGAGAAGACAGTCGAAGTGTTGCAGTATACTCTTTAGTTACATAATGTACAAGGTTAAGGAAGGTAACACATTGGCACTGCAGCCCACAGTAAGTCTCAGCCTCTTTGTGGAGGCATAGCTCCATGCTGTCCTATCCATAGTGAGTGATCAACTCTGTGTGTAAGACACATTTCCCTCTCCCAGGAAATAATCACTGGATAAGAGGCTAGGTGGACCATAGAGTCAGTCTAGATATGGTGTCAACGAAAAACCTTTGCCCCTTTTAAGTACATAGCCTTGTCATTGTTCTGACTGAGCTAGTCAGCTCACAGTTACAATGCGGTGTATGTTATTTCAAATAAAATATTAACCATTCTCAATGTTTTAACTTGTTTTTCAATTAATCCTTTTTTGATTTTGAGGTCATTAATTTTCATTGAAAAACACAGATGAAGTTGAACCCAGTCTGCATCCTGGCCTTACTCACCTTGCCACAAAGTTTCATCCTGCATCAGGGACACCCGCTGCTACTCTGCAATGCTGCATTTATGTGTAAGGTAAGCAAGCTATAGTTTAGGTCCTCACAGTCTGAAGGGCCTCTGAACACTAAGAACTAAATTAAGAGACAAACACAACATCCTCCTGTAAAATACAGAAGAAGCTATCCCTGTAACAGACCGTGAAGGCCCACAGGGTTGTGAGAGGTTAATGCTCCCACATTTTTCAGACAATCGGTTCACAGATGGCGATGAGATTGTCAGCCTTACGTGCCGGCCGTCGTTTACCTCCACAGAAATTCCTGATGCTGATTTCTGTCACAGCCTGAGTCGGCTCGAGGACCATACTGTGGCTGGAAGGATTAGGTCAATTGAAAAAGTCGAGTAACCTGATCAGGAATCAAACCTGCTACCTTCCAACTTCTAGCATAGTTCCTTAACCAACTACTCTACCGCGTGCCCTTATTAACTATATGGTACCGCAAAAAAAAAAGGTAAGAAGCTGCAAACACGAATGTTTTAGGTTAGCAAATGGATAAGGACAGAAACTGGAAGAAATACTCGTACATTAAACAAATTACCCCTAACCTAAATGGAGAATATAATTCAATAAAATGCATGTTTCATGCTTGTAATATAGACACATGTAAAACATTTATTGTGCATAACCTCTCACTGTCTTCTAAAATGTGAACTAATTTTGGGGGCGTAATTAATTGGGTCCCTTGTCCTCACGGCATGGCAGATTCTCAGGTTGCGGAAGGGGGAGACGGCAGCTACTAGGCAGAAGAATAGATGGTTTGGAACGAAAAAGGCGAAAAGGAACTGAGTATATTTATTTGTTTAGTGTCTTGTTACTGAGATATTCACGAAGATGCCGAAAAAAGTCATGATCTGTCAGAAAAATGCAGTTCCCTACATCCTAAATAATGGCAATTAATAAAATATGCAGTAATGAAGATGTATAGAGCTAGTGGAGGTGGTTCTCCACGCAGTCTTAACCTTGACGCTAAATGGGAATAAGTGGCCAGCTTCACACCCCGGTCGCATTATTCCGAGAAAACCCACGGTATCCATTGGAAAGTAGACTGAGTTTTCTGAAAAGAAGCTTTACAATACTTCAAAATAGAAATGGATGACTGATAATATTAAAGTAGATCGACGGCACTTCTTTCTCTGACCTGTTTTATGACGCTATCGTCATCAAAGACTACGCTGTTAAATGGTAGATCAATAAGTAATTAATGAATTTGAAAGGATTTGGAAGAAAGTAGTAGTGGCGTATTCGTGGTACTGTGCTGGGACTTCCCCTGGATGGTTTGATAAGCCGAGAGAAACGTCAGTCGAGATAGGTCGAGGAGTCACCCATATCCGTCTAGCGCCAAAAAAAAGTGCTTGGGGCGCAACCTCAGCTTCCCCTCACGTCTTCAGGGCATGGTGCTTAGTTAAGCACACAGACAACATCACCGTTTACTCTCGATCTAAGACAGATTTACTATAATAATTGTAAAATATACGCAATGAGTATTGTAATAATTTATCGTTTTTTACTTGAGCTTTAAAACAGTATGATCCAGAAGGATGAAGGATGAGTCAATTGACTCAGAAAGAAAGAAAGAAAGAAAGAAAGCTTATACAATATATGCCTGGATTTTGTAGGCGATCCGTGATCCGTTTTGTGTTTTTCAGTTTCGGTTTACATTGCTTCGTCCCTTATAGTGGTTTGTTACGTGTGTATCTGGCTCGTAGATTAACTTCTTACAATTCTGTCTGCATTCTGTTCACTTCAAATATATATCCGTATTATTATTGAACCCAGACTTCATGAGTCACGTGCAAGCAGTCACCCTCCCTTCAAACGATCCGCGGTAGAGAGAGTGTACAGGACAACAGGCGGGAGGGCGGGACTTTGCTTCTGGATTTTAATGATCAATCAAAAGCAAAAACATAAGGCAAATTTAATAGCAAGAGAAAGCACAATTTAGTGGACTATTAACTATCCATCGGAAAGAAATATCAGAAAGTGAGTGTAACAAGGGCATACAAGGAGGAGATGGGTGGGAAATTTGTCAACTCTGAGGACTGGTATAAAACATATAACCTTTTCTATGCCTCCAACATACGAAGGATAAAATATTGTCACGTGACGAAAATGACTGGTTGTAGTTCGGACCATTGGATTTATTAGCGTTTTGGTTACAATCTCTCACTTAATCACGTTTAAATACAGCGCTATCGCTGATTTACACACACACTGGTCCTCTCCTGGTACAATTAAAAGACAAGAAGTATAACAGTCTCGCTGAATCACACACTCCAAACACACAATACACACGAATGAAGCCTTCTAATCGCACTTTTTAATTCTTCACACGTCGAAGAACTTTCCATGGTTGTCTCCTACCGCGAGCTCAGAACTCAGAACTGACCCGTAGCGCAGTTTGTTTCTAAGAGAACTCATTTGCACTGACCCCACGGAAAACACAGGCTCTATTTTTGAAACGTTTTTACCGAACCATTACATAGCAATGGTCGCGGCGCGGACCCCATAGAAAACAGTCTCTCTATTGTTGAGGTTTGTTTACTGAGCTCTTGCTTAGAAACGCTCACGCCTACCACATTACAATATATATGGAACCATAGCATGGAATGCAAAAAGGTGTAAAATACACAAGACAGACGAATAGAGAAATCAATAGAGTCAGCCATGTGAAATTTAAGTCTCTTATTTTGCAGGTGCCATAAAACTACGTGTATACTGTCAGCTCTGGCAGAGGGACAATTTACAGTCTTTTCCAGCGCTGTAGGATTCACTGTACCGTCTTCAAACTAAATTATAAAAGAAAAATATTGTCTAACAGTATACCATGTTGGCGTAGCGAAAAACAGTTTTATATTGTTGATGCACACAAAAGACGCTGTAAATATTTCAGGAGCTGTCTCTGTTACGCTATGCATGTTAGCTTCCTGTGGCATCAAATAGTAAACCAAATGTTTTGCAATAGTGAGCTTCCGACTCGTGCGCAAGCTTGGGGAATTTCCATTGTTCCCACACGTTATAACCAATGACTGATTAATCACTGATGTAAAATGAGTGAAGGAAAATCCATTCCCCTAAGGGGCGTTAGGAATTTTTCTTTTCGCCACCGTGCTAGTTCGGTCAGGATAGTGAACAGGCTACGGTCTGGATGACAGAGGAATTGGGGTTTATACCCCATTTGAAGAGCGGATTATTTCACGTGCTGACAGGAACCAAATCGGCTCTAGAGGCTACCCAACCTCCTCTCCAATTGGTACGGAAGGATTTTTGTCCAGAAATTCGGAAGAGCGTGAAGATGACCCTTCACTTCCACCTAGCACCGAGGCTTCTGTCTTCATGGTATGGTACCATACGAGGGAGAGTCAATAAATAGGTCACAAATGGATACAAAACGTAAAACATGAGATATACGAAAATAAAGAAAATATATTTCTCGACATATTCTCCACCAGCACTGTTACACTTGTTCCATAGCTTTATCTGTGCGTCGAAACCCGCAGCACAGAAGTTTTTGCCTGTTGCCTCAGCCACTTCCGCACCTCCGTTTCAACCTCTCCGTCATCAGCGAAAGCCACCCACCTGTGAACCGCTTTAAGCGACAAACACTTCCCACCGTAAACAAGAAATATTTTTTTATGAATATCCTTTACATTAAATCCTTCTGCCCACAGAAAAAGCACAACAGAACGCTGTTCTTCGGTAATACACTTAACAAGCACGGTCGCCATTTTGACTACTGAAACCAGGCTCTGAACATGAGCTTGCACGTCTGCTACCTACTGATACACATGGAAACGTTATTACGTCAATTACAGCTCTTTTACTTCTATTTGTGAACTATTTACTGACTCTCCCTCGTATTAAGCACAGGGACAATCTTACTTGTATAGCAGCCCTGGCTCACCAGCGATAGGGACCAGGAATACGATGACCACGTCTATCTGTTCCTAATAATATGAGAAATTTTATACTCACAGTTTGGTGTTTAGACCTAGAGTGTTTCGTTCGTAGTTTGTTTAACGGCACTGAATTAATCGATTGAACTTGGTGTGTTACCATTGTGCTTTAAGGGTTCCATTTTATAAGCTTATAAGAATGCCTCAATTTCCAATGACCGTGCTGTGTATTTTTTCTACTTCTGGCGAAAGATACCTCCAGTACTATTCCAAATGTAGGACTTCATAGTTTCCTGGAAGACTGTAACCACAAACGCCCTTGGGTATATAAAAACGTCAAAAAAACCTTCTAATCTCTTAACGTAACACTGATGTATGGTAGTTCCATTTACTTCCTGGAAACAGATCTGATAATAATGACCGTCGTGGTTGCAATGCGGACCGAACTGAAAACACCTGTCATGCAGGCTACGTGATGTACATATAACAGAGCAATCTGCCAACTGTAAAAGGAGAAACAGCATGTTTAAATCGCGGAATGTCACCATGTACAATTCAAATTGGATTCCCAATAATACGCCGTAACCTTGTGAAGCAACAACGGCTCAAGTATCTTTTCGTACTGGATGCGTGCGATGTTGAGGATTGAGGGAAAGAGCGAACTATGTGAGGGGTGTTCTGTCAAGGCAAACAAGACATAGTATTACGAAAAGCCAGGAAGAGTACAGGCTTGCGGCCATTGTTGCGGTAGCGTTTTAGAGAGTGGGAATCATTGTGCAGTCGAATATTATTACAAATGAAAAATATTAGGGCTTATAATGCATTAAATTGTATTAGCTGTCTCCAGCCCCTCACATATTTTGCGTTTCTTAATTGCATTGGCTCCCGCCATTGTGCCAAACATGCTCGTCTTCTAAACATAAACACATACTTTTTTTTTTAAGATTACTGTCTT